TGGTGGTTGGAGGGAGGTAGTCAGTTGTGGTGGTTGCTGGGAGGTAGTCAGTTGTGGTGGTTGCTGGGAGGTAGTCAGTTGTGGTGGTTGGAGGGAGGTAGTCAGTTGTGGTGGTTGCTGGGAGGTAGTCAGTTGTGGTAGTTGCTGGGAGGTAGTCAGTTGTGGTGGTTGCTGGGAGGTAGTCAGATGTGATACTTGGTGGGAGGTAGTCAGTTGTGGTGGTTGGTGGGAGGTAGTCAGTTGTGATACTTGGTGGTAAGTAGTCAGTTGTGGTGGTTGGTGGGAGGTAGTCAGTTGTGGTGGTTGGTGGGAGATAGTCAGTTGTGGTGGTTGGTGGGAGGTAGTCAGTTGTGATGGTTGGTGGGAGGTAGTCGGTTGTGGTAGTTGGTGGGAGGTAGTCAGTTGTGGTGGTTGGTGGGAGGTAGCCAGTTGTGGTAGTTAGAGGGAGGTAGTCAGTTGTGTTCGTTGGTGGGAGGTAGTCAGTTGTGGTAGTTAGAGGGAGGTAGTCAGTTGTGGTAGTTAGAGGGAGGTAGTCAGTTGTGTTCGTTGGTGGGAGGTAGTCAGTCGTGGCAGTTAGAGGGAGATAGTCAGTTGTGGTGGTTGGTGGCAAGTAGTCAGTTGTGGTGGTTAGTGGGAGGTAGTCAGTTGTGGTGGTTGGTGGGAGGTAGTCAGTTGTGGTGGTTGGTGGAAGGTAGTCAGTTGGGGTGGTTGGTGGGAGGTAGTCAGTTGTGGTGGTTGGTGGCAAGTAGTCAGTTGTGGTGGTTGGTGGGAGGTAGTCAGTTGTGGTGGTTGGTGGGAGGTAGTCAGTTGTGGTGGTTGGTGGCAAGTAGTCAGTTGTGGTGGTTGGTGGGAGGTAGTCAGTTGGGGTGGTTGGTAGGAGGTAGTCAGTTGGGATGGTTGGTGGGAGGTAGTCAGTTGTGGTGGTTGGTGGGAGGTAGTCAGTTGTGGTGGTTTGGTGGGAGGTAGTCAGTTGGGGTGGTTGGTGGGAGGTAGTCAGTTGGGATGGTTGATGGGAGGTAGTCAGTTGTGGTGGTTGGTGGGAGGTAGTCAGTTGTGGTGGCTGGTGGCAAGTAGTCAGTTGTGGTGGTTAGTGGGAGGTAGTCAGTTGTGGTGGTTGGTGGGAGATAGTCAGTTGTGGTGGTTGGTGGGAGGTAGTCAGTTGTGGTGGTTGGTGGGAGGTAGTCAGTTGCGGTGGTTGGTGGGAGGTAGTCAGTTGTGGTGGTTGGTGGGAGGTAGTCAGTTGTGGTGGTTGGTGGGAGGTAGTCAGTTGTGGTGGTTGGAGGGAGGTAGTCAGCTGTGGTGGTTGGTGGGAGGTAGTCAGTTGTGGTGGTTGGTGGGAGGTAGTCAGTTGTGGTGGTTGAAGGGAGGTAGTCAGTTGTGATAGTTGGTGGGAGGTAGTCAGTTGTGCTGGTTGGTGGGAGGTAGTCAGTTGTGGTGGTTGGTGGGAGGTAGTCAGTTGTGGTGGTTGGAGGGAGGTAGTCAGCTGTGGTGGTTGGTGGGAGGTAGTCAGTTGTGGTGGTTGGTGGGAGGTAGTCAGTTGTGGTGGTTGAAGGGAGGTAGTCAGTTGTGATAGTTGGTGGGAGGTAGTCAGTTGTGGTGGTTGGAGGGAGGTAGTCAGTTGTGGTGGTTGGTGGGAGGTAGTCAGTTGTGGTGGTTGGTGGGAGGTAGTCAGTTGTGGTGCTTGGTCGGAGTTAGTCATTTTGTGGTAGTTCGAGGGAGGTAGTCAGTTGTGGTGGCTGGTCTGAGCTAGTCAGTTGTGGTGGTTGGTCTGAGGTAGTCAGTTGTGGTGGTTGGAGGTAGGTAGTCAGTTGTGGTGGTTGGTGGGAGGTAGCCAGTTGTTGTGGTTGGAGGGAGGTAGTCAGATGTGGTGGTTGGAGGGAGGTAGTCAGTTGTGATAGTTGGTGAGAGATAGTCAGTTGTTGTGGTTGGAGGAGGTAGTCAGTTGTGTTGGTTGGAGGGAGGTAGCCTGTTGTTGTGGTTGGAGGGAGGTAGTCAGTTGTGTTGGTTGGTGGGAGGTAGTCAGTTGTGTTGGTTGGTGGGAGGTAGTCAATTGTGGTGGTTGGAGGTAGGTAGTCAGTTGTGGTGGTTGGTGGGAGGTAGCCAGTTGTTGTGGTTGGAGGGAGGTAGTCAGATGTGGTGGTTGGAGGGAGGTAGTCAGTTGTGATAGTTGGTGAGAGATAGTCAGTTGTTGTGGTTGGAGGGAGGTAGTCAGTTGTGTTGGTTGGAGGGAGGTAGCCTGTTGTTTGTGGTTGGAGGGAGGTAGTCAGTTGTGTTGGTTGGTGGGAGGTAGTCAGTTGTGTTGGTTGGTGGGAGGTAGTCAATTGTGGTGGTTGGAGGTAGGTAGTCAGTTGTGTTGGTTGGTGGGAGGTAGTCAATTGTGGTGGTTGAAGGGAGGTAGCCAGTTGTGATAGTTGGAGGTAGGTAGTCAGTTGTAATAGTTGGTGAGAGGTAGTCAGTTGTGGTGGTTGGTGGGAGGTAGTCAATTGTGGTGGTTGGTGGGAGATAGTCAGTTGTGGTTGTTGAAGGGAGGTAGTCAGTTGTGATAGTTGGAGGTAGGTAGTTAGTTGTGGTGGTTGGAGGGAGGTAGTCAGTTGTGGTGTTTGGTTATAGGTAGTCAGTTGTAGTGACTGGAGGGAGGTAGTCAGTTGTGGTGGTTGGAGGGAGGTAGTCAGATGTGGTGGTTGGTGGGAGGTAGCCAGTTGTTGTGGTTGGAGGGAGGTAGTCAGATGTGGTGGTTGGAGGGAGGTAGTCAGTTGTGATAGTTGGTGAGAGATAGTCAGTTGTTGTGGTTGGAGGGAGGTAGTCAGTTGTGTTGGTTGGAGGGAGGTAGCCTGTTGTTGTGGTTGGAGGGAGGTAGTCAGTTGTGTTGGTTGGTGGGAGGTAGTCAGTTGTGTTGGTTGGTGGGAGGTAGTCAATTGTGGTGGTTGGAGGTAGGTAGTCAGTTGTGTTGGTTGGTGGGAGGTAGTCAATTGTGGTGGTTGAAGGGAGGTAGCCAGTTGTGATAGTTGGAGGTAGGTAGTCAGTTGTAATAGTTGGTGAGAGGTAGTCAGTTGTGGTGGTTGGTGGGAGGTAGTCAATTGTGGTGGTTGGTGGGAGATAGTCAGTTGTGGTTGTTGAAGGGAGGTAGTCAGTTGTGATAGTTGGAGGTAGGTAGTTAGTTGTGGTGGTTGGAGGGAGGTAGTCAGTTGTGGTGTTTGGTTATAGGTAGTCAGTTGTAGTGACTGGAGGGAGGTAGTCAGTTGTGGTGGTTGGAGGGAGGTAGTCAGATGTGGTGGTTGGTGGGAGGTAGTCAGTTGTGGTGGTTGGAGGGAGGTAGTCAGTTGTGGTGGTTGGTGGGAGGTAGTCAGTTGTGGTGGTTGAAGGGAGGTAGTCAGTTGTGGTGGTTGAAGGGAGGTAGTCAGTTGTGGTGGTTGGTGGGAGGTAGTCAGTTGTGGTGGTTGGAGGGAGGTAGTCAGTTGTGGTGGTTGAAGGGAGGTAGTCAGTTGTGGTGGTTGGTGGGAGGTAGTCAGTTGTGGTGGTTGAAGGGAGGTAGTCAGTTGTGGTGGTTGGTGGGAGGTAGTCAGTTGTGGTGGTTGAAGGGAGGTAGTCAGTTGTGGTGGTTGGAGGGAGGTAGTCAGTTGTGGTGGTTGGAGGGAGGCAGTCAGTTGTGGTGGTTGTAGGGAGGCAGTCAGTTGTTGTGCTAGTAGCAGAGTATGGATGTTAGGTGACAGTGATCAAGAACTAGTCTCTGGTGATGTCAAGAAATTTGATCGTGTGAAGACAGTACTTCAGCATCTGTGCTGGTGTCGCTCTACAGATGTCAGTCATGAAGACTGGAAGTTTAAATATCCCAGGAGTCAGGTAGTTAGTGGTCCATATCATAAGAACCTCACGTTTCAACAAACCAAACAGATTTCAAACAATCTCACATTAATACTTCTAGACAATAAACCCAACAAGTTTAAACCCATCGCACATTAACACTTCTAGACAATCAATGTAAACATTGATAAATTCAAAACTGCCACCTTCAAAAAAAGTGTTGTTAAGAACTTTTACTCTAAAAATCTCTTAATAAATTTCCCCGAGGTCTCGACAGATACTCCAGTAGTTTTACCAGTCATTTTTTTCAACACACAAACCGTCTCCCACAGAGGCAAGGTGACCCGAAAACAATCCTTTTCACCGTCACTCTATGGCTGTCTTGCCACAGGATTGATGATATTACAGCTCAGATATCCCTCCAGGTGCAGTATCTTCACCCCTCCTTCAGAGTGCAGGCACTGCGTAACACAGGACATCATTTAGGCATTAATTGCAAATCACACAGATAAGGGCAGGATTCCCCTTGGATGAAATAAATATGTGTAATCCTCATTAAACAGAGAATCAAATCATACTGATGATTTCTTGTGAAAGGGTTAGAACCTCTTCAACCTTCCCTTCCCCATCCCCCGCAGGTGCTGGTGCTTGCTGTACAGTTGGCTCTCCGTGATATGGATCATCTTGTCACCCACTTTCCAGAGACACACTATTGTATGTGGCGCAAAAGTTCACTGTAAAACAGAGAGATTATGTATAATACGCTGTGTAATCACAGTTGTATGATGCGGTAGTATTGCACTATACTGTGTATAGTAATGGTCTGATGATTAAGACACATATGCAACGGTTGGGTATCTTTATTGTTGAAACGTTTAGCCTACACAGTAGGTTTCTTCAGTCAAATACAGAGGCAGCAGTTGAAGTGGAAAAATGAAGATGATGTAATCAGTCTATGAACTCAAATTCTTGGGACATTGAATTGTTTGTAAAAGAAGACCTGCTACGTGGTATTGTTTGGAAACACACATTTCACGTTGCAGTGTTTGCAAATGGAGCTTTTCACTTAGCACTGTATGTAAACAGAGCTTTTCTCGTGGCAATGTTTGTAAACAAACGCGACAAGTAGCAGTTTGTCAACAATTGCTTTGAGGTAAGAGCGTTCGTGAGGCTAGTGTGTGAAGTGGTTGTGTACTCACCAGAGATCCCATCATAGGTCCACCACTGCTCCCAGTTCCAGGTTACTCCAGCAGTTCCTGAAACATAGATAATATTATGTTACCTCCATGATCTTGTGAATGAATGAGAAACTTGAAACAGTTGTTTTGCTTAGTGAATGACTGACCTTTTCTCTAGTTCGATGTATTCTACCCATCTAATTAGATACGTTCTGACTCTAGCTAGACGAATTCAGCTTCCTAGTAACAGCCTAATTGGAAACACACTTTCCCTAGTTAGGCACAATCTGCTCTTCATCCACCCTGGCGTCATTAAAAGCTAGGACCAGGGAAGATATGATAACGACATATAAGATACTCTGAGGCTTTTATGGGAGAAGAGAAAGACTCATTGGTGAGTAACAGTAACAAGGGAGCGCAGCTAGAAGTAAAATGCAGGTAAATTCTCGGAAATCTGGAAATATTTATACGGCTCTAGGGCGGTGAGATGTTGACCTACCTACAGTGTTAACACAAACACACACTGACATGCATCTAGTACGTCAGTTTTATCATGTTGCATCACACTACCACATCTTGTATTCCCTCTGGATTCAGCCGAAGCTTGGTAGTTTATTGCTGTGTAGTCACTGGGGCCTCACACTTATACCGTGAATAACTGACAGCTGTTAAACATCAGCCAATCAGGGTGAAGGGTTGAATTCAAGATGAAATGACTTTATACCTACACCCAGGTCTGGAGGGCAGTCTCTCATTAGCTGTGACTGATTACACATGATAGTCTCTTTTTATACGAGTTTATGAGGGAATAGTAGTCAGCGTACTCATACTTGCTCTCTCTCTCATCATGTTACTACAAGTATGGTGTCTGCTTACCTTACTGCTATTTTTCACACGCTAAATACTGTAAACGCTGATGTTGGTAGTGGGAACATATAGGTACTCAATAAGCTACCTTTGCCTTCCAAATACCTTGATAACTTCTTTAATGGTAATCAATCTACGTTTAAGTACCACGGGCCTATTTGTACTTGGGTTCGTAAAACACCTCACATTACAATGTTACTACACACACACATCACATCTCACATTTATACTGAAAATGGTATAAAATACCCACAAGTTGATAAGACACATGCAAAAGTTGGGTGTCTTTATTGTTGAACCGTTTCGCCTAAACAGTAGGCTTCTTCAGTCAAATACAGAGGAGGCAAGAGAAGCAGTAGAGATGTAAAGACGATATAATCACTTCATCACCCTCGAAGACGTAGTTTTGAGGTATTTAGTCCCTCAGCCTGGAGAAGAGTTCAGACCATGGAGCTGATGGACTGATTACATCATCTTTATATCTCTACTGCCTCCTCTATATTTGACTGAAGAAGCCTACTGTGTAGGCGAAACGTTTCAACAATAAAGACACCCATGTGTTGCACATGTGTCTTACTCATCAACAACTCACACTGTAATGATAACACACACCACATAGGTATTTCCACCTGTTGCTGTTTATTCACTTCCACATTTATTATCCTCTTTCCTTCCTTAACCTCTATCAGTTCCCCGTTTATTTTTCTCCGTCACTCTTAGTGTTATGTCAGTAATCTGTCATGTGCCTTTAAGCCTTCCTTCCTGGTCTGCCTCCAGCCATCAAACACCAGTAACCTGCCATGTGCCTTCCAGTCTTCCTTCCTGGTGGTGTTTCCAGCCCCCAAACACCAGTAACCTGCCGTGTGCCTTCCAGCCTTCCTTCCTGGTGGTGTTTCCAGCCCCCAAACACCAGTAACCTGCCGTGTGCCTTCCAACCTTCCTTCCTGGTGGTGTTTCCAGCCCCCAAACACCAGTAACCTGCCATGTGCCTTCCAGTCTTCCTTCCTGGTGGTGTTTCCAGCCCCCAAACACCAGTAACCTGCCGTGTGCCTTCCAACCTTCCTTCCTGGTGGTGTTTCCAGCCCCCAAACACCAGTAACCTGCCATGTGCCTTCCAGCCTTTCTTCCTGGTGGTGTTTCCAGCCCCCAAACACCAGTAACCTGCCATGTGCCTTCCAGCCTTTCTTCCTGGTGGTGTTTCCAGCCCCCAAACACCAGTAACCTGCCATGTGCCTTCCTGGTCTGCCTTCCCTCCACATCTGTTCTCTCATTATCATATCTTATCACAGGGTTTTTTTTCATTAACTTTTACTCTGCCCTTCTCTCCCTCTCTTTTTCTCTCATTACCTCCACCTCTATCTCCTCGTTCCTCTACCCTCTTCCCTCTACTTCCCTCTTCTCTGTCCCTCCCCTGCCCCTCCTCCTCCTCCTCCCCTTCCCTTCACCCGGGACCAAGCGAAGGGGAAATTACAGGTTCGGGTTTTTCCTCCTCTCTTTCTCCTCACTCAGTATTACGGATTTTGTCCTCATTCGATATTTGCTTTCCTCCTTCCTCTACCCACTCCATCCTCCCTTCCTCCCTCCCTCCCTCCCTCCCTCCCTCTATCATCTCCCCTCTCGTTCCTCCGTCCTCTTCCTTCTGTTTCTCCTCCTCTTCCATCCCCTCTCACCCTCATACCCTATTCCTCCCTCTCTACTTTCATCTTCCCCCTCTCTCATCTCCCTCCCTCTCTCCTCTCATCTCCCCTCTTCCTCCCTCTCTCCTCTGTATGTTCTTTGTTTCCTGTTCAGTTGAATTGACATTGTATGTTTGCTGCAGTGTGGTGCTGTAACACTCACCACCAGTGTGGTGCTGTAACACTCACCACCAGTGTGGTGCTGTAACACTCACCACCAGTGTGGTGCTGTAACACTCACCACCAGTGTGGTGCTGTAACACTCACCACCAGTGTGGTGCTGTAACACTCACCACCAGTGTGGTGCTGTAACACTCACCACCAGTGTGGTGCTGTAACACTCACCACCAGTGTGGTGCTGTAACACTCACCACCAGTGTGGTGCTGTAACACTCACCACCAGTGTGGTGCTGTAACACTCACCAGCAGTGTGGTGCTGTAACACTCACCACCAGTGTGGTGCTGTAACACTCACCACCAGTGTGGTGCTGTAACACTCACCACCAGTGTGGTGCTGTAACACTCACCACCAGTGTGGTGCTGTAACACTCACCACCAGTGTGGTGCTGTAACACTCACCACCAGTGTGGTGCTGTAACACTCACCACCAGTGTCGTGCTGTAACACCACCAGTGTGGTGCTGTAACATTCATCACCAGTGTGGTGTTACACCACTCACCACCAGTGTGGTGTTACAACACTCACCACCAGTGTGGTGTTACAACACTCACCACCAGTGTGGTGTTACACCACTCACCACCAGTGTGGTGTTACAACACTCACCACCAGTGTGGTGTTACAACACTCACCACCAGTGTGGTGTTACAACACTCACCACCACCCTGACTGACTAGATATGGGACAGGGGTGACCCTGAGAGATGGTAATCCTCACGCAGTAGTACCTCCTACCACTGATTTAAGCAAAACCTCGGTGTTGTCGTAGCTGCTGACCCCATGACTGTGTACTTGACCATGTCATCATCATCGTACTGAAGTCTGTCAGCTCAAGCTGACAGACTTCATTATCGTGTGCACGACACCCTTCCTGTGCACGACACCCCTTCCTGTGCACGACACCCCTTCCTGTGCATGACACCCCTTCCTGTGCACGACACCCCTTCCTGTGCACGACACCCCTTCCTGTGCACGACACGCCTTCCTGTGCACGACACCCCTTCCTGTGCACGACACCCCTTCCTGTGCACGACACTCCTTCCTGTGCACGACACCCCTTCCTGTGCACGACACCCCTTCCTGTGCACGACACCCTTCCTGTACACGACACCCCTTCCTGTGCACGACACCCTTCTTGTGCATGACACCCCTTCCTGTGCACGACACCCCTTCCTGTGCACGACACCCCTTCCTGTGCACGACACCCCTTCCTGTGCACGACACTCCTTCCTGTGCACGACACCCCTTCCTGTGCACGGCACCCCTTCCTGTGCACGACACCCTTCCTGTGCACGACACCCCTTCCTGTGCACGACACCCTTCCTGTGCACGACACTCCTTCCTGTGCACGACACCCCTTCCTGTGCACGACACCCCTTCCTGTGCACGACACCCTTCCTGTGCACGACACCCCTTCCTGTGCACGACACTCCTTCCTGTGCACGACACTCCTTCCTGTGCACGACACCCCTTCCTGTGCACGACACCCCTTCCTGTGCACGACACCCTTCCTGTGCACGACACTCCCTCCTGTGCACGACACCCCTTCCTGTGCACGACACCCCTTCCTGTGCACGACACCCCTTCCTGTGCACGACACCCCTTCCTGTGCACGACACTCCTTCCTGTGCACGACACTCCTTCCTGTGCACGACACCCCTTCCTGTGCACGACACCCCTTCCTGTGCATGACACCCTTACTGTGTACTGCATTATAAGCCCAAAATACAGCTTTTGTATCTTCCACAATGTAACTATCCTATAGAAATGTGTAGTGACACACTGCTGTTGCTTCTGTTGCTGCCACTGTTATTGTTGTTGCTGCTGTTGCTTCTGTTGCTGCCACTGTTATTGTTGTTGCTGCTGTTGCTTCTGTTGCTGCCACTGTTATTGTTGTTGCTACTGTTGCTTCTGTTGCTGCCACTGTTATTGTTGTTGCTGCTGTTGCTTCTGTTGCTGCCACTGTTATTGTTGTTGCTGCTGTTGCTTCTGTTGCTGCCACTGTTATTGTTGTTGCTGCTGTTGCTTCTGTTGCTGCCACTGTTATTGTTGTTGCTACTGTTGCTTCTGTTGCTGCCACTGTTATTGTTGTTGCTGCTGTTGCTTCTGTTGCTGCCACTGTTATTGTTGTTGCTGCTGTTGCTTCTGTTGCTGCCACTGTTATTGTTGTTGCTGCTGTTGCTTCTGTTGCTGCCACTGTTATTGTTGTTGCTACTGTTGCTTCTGTTGCTGCCACTGTTATTGTTGTTGCTGCTGTTGCTTCTGTTGCTGCCACTGTTATTGTTGTTGCTGCTGTTGCTTCTGTTGCTGCCATTGTTATTGTTGTTGCTGCTGTTGCTTCTGTTGCTGCCACTGTTAT